GAGCTGAAGTCCACAAAGAAGAGACTTGCATAGGTCCCTGGGGAGTCAAGGTGTTGCAGGGCCATCTTGACACCTGTTTGCCTTGTAGGTAAACAGCGGGGGGTCTACAATGTTACAATGTCCTTCAAATGGGCCAACACCAGTCTCTCAAAGGTCTTCATAACTACAGATGTCAGGCTGAGAGGTCTGTAGTTGTTCAGTGGTTTTGATATGATGCTTCACTTAAGGTTTATCCTACTCTTGGGTTGTGTGCAAGTAATAGAAAGTCACCTTCGGCTTTTCCCGTTCAGGGGCAGCCACAGCGAATCACCACACTGACTACTCTCCTGTTGACATTTGGCAAGTGTTTTACACCGGATGCCCTTCCTGACGGAGCCCTGATTCGAACCCGGGCCGGCGCTGCACCTTAACCAGTAGCCTACCAGGGACGGCGCTGAGAGCATGCATGACTAGCAGCTTTCCTCAAATTTGTCCAGAGGTTAATCATTATTGTATCATTATTACATTTCCATACTACAGTTTTGTGAAACTTAACTGATCTACAGTGATACCAGTTTATGAATGATAAACTAATACTGGTCTATTTATTAGTCTAACTTTAATTATAGTTCCTACATTCATCAATATGCCTGAAAAATATTGTTTTACCCTCAAACCAGGCTAAAGTGGTCCAAAACAGACCCAGTTCTTAATTGTTCAAGAATTTTGTGTAATGTTAAAGACTGTTCCTATTGAAGCGTTCTGCTCAGTCACCAGATACCTGCGCAACCACCGTAATCAAACACGACATAAATGTGCTAGTCATAAGGACAGCATTTAATCAGGAGACTTTTAGAACCAATTACACAGTCCAGCTGTAATTCATACAATTTACACACACAAATGCCCCAAAATAGTAACACCTAATAACATATAAACAATGAGCAATTAAAACATTTGATGTTTTATTCTTCAAGAACAGATCTGAATTCATGCTTGGCACATTGTTGAACAGTAATTTAGTGTCATTTACACTACTCTGTGGTATCAAATTTATCAATTTAGAATTTAATGCAGATTCCAATAGAGGCTGAATTGTTTCGAGACTTCATGCAGTTTCCTAGCTTTAATGTATTACTTGCTGCTACAACAGCAAACAGCAGTCACTAGCTAGACTACACATGCATCTTTTGCTAACGCAGCACATCATGCATCCTGCAGCTTAACTAATCCCCGGGGAGAGAGTCATGACCTCAGCTGCTCTGAAGCTGATGCTTTAAGGATGTTTTTTAAATGTGACGAGTTTTGTAATCACTTGCCAGGTTTTGGATGAATACAACCCACCTTTTGACCAATAGCCTACCTAGCCTGCTTGGTTCCTCACACACAGCCAAGTGAAACACTGGGAGTGATACTCGCGAGGTTCATCATCTCATCATTACCCTTGTCTATAAATCAAAAGCTTTACCAAAAAAAAAAAGAGGTGCAGGTTTGACACCAGTGTTTAGTCCCAAATTCAAAACAAAGTGCAGATTCTTTCATTTGACTGTAACTTGCACTTCTGAATTTGTGGTACATCTTGTGGACACACTGTATTTTACACCAGTCCAGTCATCGTTTGTCTTGGTGTATGCACAACCTGAACACTCTCACTCTCAGTTATTAGTAACGAAGCATGCACAAAATCAAAGTTAAATAACTTAAAATTCCTCCCTTTAGTGATAGAATCTCCAAAACAGTCACTGAGGCACAGTGAAGAAAGACAATCAACATATGAGCCTCAACAGTGGGCAGAAGGGCTCAAATAGAGGTGCTCTCCACAGTAATGGCATTCAGATATAACTGTTTAAAGCGGTGTGGCAGGCAAATGGTAAACAGTGAATGTGCAGATGCAAGATTTATATTCATTTCCAGATAATAGGCTTTAGATTATATACAGTATTACCTTATTTCATCAGAGGTATCTGTGACAACAGATTTTAACATAATAGCTTTACAGTACGTATTTGTATTGTCTTCATTTGTAGCACAAGTCTCACATTTAGCCATTTAGAATAAAGTCACTGTATGACATTTGCTGCCTTAGAGTTTTCTTCTCTAACATTTTTAGCAGTGGGAACATTTTTGAGGACAAACTGTCAACGGCTATAATAAAGTGTTTTCGATTTCGACCAATTCACGGAATGCAGCCCATAAAATGTTCATTTTGTTCATATTAATTTGTTAAACAGTACATACTTAGTACTACAGTACTTATACTGTCTCTCCTAAAATGGTGCAAGGCAAAAAAAAACCCTGACAAATCAGTCTCACTGTCAAGCTTCTGATATTCATCAGTAAATGGAGTTTCCTTAATGGGCATGGAACTGCAGATGTTTTCTGAACACTTTAAAGCACCCTGGAGACATTTAATGAAATATGCTTTCTGTTTCATTCTTGCCTAGTTCTGAACAAGATGCACTGGCTTTGCAGAATCTTCACTGTTTAGGGGTGTCACTTTCAAACTTTTATTCCCAAAGGAGAAATAGTAAATATTCAAACTGTTGAAAGGTGTTTGAATTGAAAATGTACAGTCAATAAGCAAAACAGACCATTTGAAGCAGTTTGCCTTGTGGTCCAGCAGAAAGAACAATCAGCCTGAACTTCTGCTGGCACAATGAGTAAGAAAATGAAGCTAAAGAAATAAAAAATGGAGGACACTAGCAAGCAAGGTCATGCTGGTGTGTGGAAATATTTTGGTTTCTACACTGTAGACGGACAGAGCAACACCAAAGATGAAACTGTTTTATGACTGCTTTACTCTACACTAGAGGCACCAGAAACAAGTGAAGCAATCTCACCGACTGCTTAGTCAAGACACACAGGGTTAGTGCAATTGAATGACATCATGTGGCCAATACAGAAAGATAAAGGAAAAGCCTGAGTGAATGAGTGGCCTCTTCCAGGATAACAGTGGCTCTGCTGTAATTCACAACAATAAAGTGAAAACAGGTTTATGGAGGATTTTTTAAAATTCATTTTCTAAAAATAAAAGAGTGAACTATCCTATTTACATAAGTATTCAGACCCTTTTGTTAGGACACTTGCAATTAAGCTCTGGTGCATCCTGCTCCTATCAGTGGTCATTGAGATGCTTGTACAGCTTGATCATATGCACTGCATATAATTAGGAAATACAGAGCAATCGTGACTGAAAACCTTCCCCAGAATGCTCAGGATCTCAGGCTGGGGCAAAAGTTTACATTTCAGAAAGACAACGACCCCAAGCATACGGCCAAGAAATCACAGAGTGGCTTCAGGGAAATTCTGTAAAGTCATGGAGCAGCTCAGCCAGAGTCCGGACCTAAACCCAAGAGAGCATCTCTGGAAAAATGCCTGTGCACCACGCTGCCCATCCAACCTGGCTGACCTTGACTGATTCTACCAAGAAGAATGGAGGAAAATTCCAAAAGAAGGGTGCCAAGCTTGCAGCTTCATTGTCAAGAAGACTTCAGGCTGTTGTTGTTGCCAAAGGTGCTTTAACCAAGGGTCTGAAAACTACTGTAAATGGGATAATTCAGTCTTCTATTTTTAATAAATTTACAAAACATTCCAAATAGTTCAAAGATTCAATATGTCATGCAGACTAGCCGTTTCCCTTTTTTCTGGCTTTGTGTTAAAACTAAGATAAATAGTTTTTTGCTGGACATAAGACTGGTACTGATCTTCTCATTGAACTCTAATAAGTGCATTTTGCTAAATTCACAAAACTAATCCTTTACTTAGTTGCAAAGCTGTGGACCATATCAGGAGATCTTTATAAACAGCAGCTACCAAATGGACCTGAAGGTGAGAGTGACTTGTATTTTTAAATATAGTTATGATAAAACAAAATTTAATCTGACAGCTGACAGTCCGTTCCCCCATCGAGATGTGGGGTGTGTGCTACGGGAAACACAATTTTAATGAAAGGGTAATGTGTCTCAACAGGGGAACAGACTTCACCACAACACCTACACAGCTGAGATTCAGCAGTATGAACCATTAACTTTGTTTTCTACTATGATCACGGGACTAAATTTAAGGGATTCAAATGGACTAGCAGCAAACTGGGTTTAGTCGGTCTTAAACCACATCCTGTTCCATGGCAAGTGAAAAGCTAGTGAATCACAAATCTGAACATAATCTAGGGCCCAAACCAGGCCTTGCTGAAAATGTCACAATGCAACCAAGGTTGAAGAACAAACTGGAAATGAAGGAGCTGGTCAATCAATCCTCATTCACGGCTTCTTCTCTTCTTCCTCTGCTTCTATTTCTATGTTCTCCAACAGTGTGTGCTTCTCATCTTCTGGCATTAGAGTGACAGGGTTTAGGTGAAAAATGTGCCTTTAAAAAAGAGGAAAAAATTAAGCATTTTGAAGAGAATCTGTTAACAGAGGTCACCTGGTCATTTAGCAGATGATTTGTTCACTCATAAACCCAGTATAATAAACTCACTTGTGTTCACAAGTTGGGAAGAACATGTCCAAGATCTTGACTATGACTGCTGATCCGACAACGCCAATCACCACCACCCACATAACCAGGAAGAATAGAGGCAGGGACTCGGAGCAGAAGTGCCTGAGACGCTCCCTCACTTGTTCCACCCACTGACACATGGCCTGAGGAAAGGATGGACGCCAAGACATGAGCTGCTACACGTGCTAGGCCATTTATCACTACCTGTAGAGCCAACTTCATGTAGTCTGCATTAGTGTCATTACTGCTACTAGCTACTCTTTCTCAATGTCACTATGAGTCAAATTAGCTAGCCACCATGATATTGTGACTGTTACCCCCTGCTGTGCACACATCCTTGATTGAGTTTGAATGTATTTACAGCAGTAATGACCGGTGTCAACTCAAAAAACAACACTGTATTGGTAAAATATTATTTTTCTGTCAACACTGGCCAGTTAAACTGCAATGTATGACTATTTTGTTAAGTTTCCTGATTTTGATATTTGGGCTCCCACTAAACCATATTCACTTCAGATCAGTGAATCTGCGGATTATTTTCTCGATTCATTTCTGGGTTGATGAAATATCAGAAGAAAATACATAATGAAAAAAAGCCAATTGTAATTTCTAGTGCACTATCATCAAATGTCCATCCAACAGGCAAAACCTACAGGTATGCAGTTAACTATTACATAAGACCGAATCCTCCCCAGCAAATGGGAACCTCAAAATGTTAGGCACTTTTGACTAAAACCATTTGTCAATTATTAAAATAGTTGCCAACTATTTTTCTGTCAGTCATCTTATTGAATAACTCTTTTATCTCCTTTTCATATAGCTCACTATACTAACCAAACATTTTCCCACAGCTTGTTTAATTTTTTGAAAGTCATAACAATTCCCAGTTTCAAAACATCAGTAGTGACCAGGGGGTGTTCTTCGTACGTCGCTAAACAGATCCTAGATCAAATGAATAATCCTGGATTTTCTAATGTCGGGTAAGGTTATCTGGATATTTCAGTTCTTCACCCTCCACCAGTTGTGGATTAGAAAAGCTGGATTCAATCATCCAAGATAAGTGCACGCTATCAGCAGTCAATGACCAGACTACATATATAGACAGTTGAAACCCTGATCAGCTGGTTTCTGATTGGCTACATGCAGATGTCTAAGGCGAGTGCAGTCTGTCACCACAGCAGAGAAAGCCTTTCTGCTGGGCGGTGAAAAAGAATTAAGAGTTCATTTGTAAGTCTAATTGGTAACTGCTAAAGCGGAACTCTGCAAAATGCGGAGAGATATCTGGTAAAAGTAGCTGAAAAATTAAATGCATAGCTAAACCCGTAAGGTTACCATGACTGCATGTCCGCTACTTTGATTGATATGATGGCATAATTTGTGTTAAATGCGTAAATACAGTAGTAGCCTAATCCTGTGCACAGTGGCATGCTCATATATCCAACAAATCGAAGCCGGAGCATAAATTACAAAGGGGAATTCCAGCTCAGACGGGATGTCTGAATCATCCTCATTTATTAATAATTTTGTAGAGGATTAATTTGACATCCCTTGTGTGTTACGCTTAGCTCTACTACCTTTACCCTATTATTAGAGTTTTTCTTCATAGCTTTGCCTCAATAATCAAATAATTTTAAATCAAGTTTGATATTCTCCACATTTAGTTTCTTTTGCACAACACAACCCTTTTCACCTTTTGCTACAAATAATGGTTTAACACATTTCAACAAATTAAAGTACAGTTGTCTATAGTTTGAACATTTATCACTTGTAGAAATCTCAGGTCAATGCACAATGACTGTGAGGTGGTAAGAATGGAGTTCCTCTTTGTCTGCCCCTAATATGAGGCACCAACAGTCTACTTCAGTACATTACTCCCTCTTGAGTAGAGCGGCATCTTTTCATTAGGAACAGTTTGGGACAGGCCAAAGGGTCCCGTCGACCTCTCAGTCTGTTTTCTTTGAACTCATGTCTTATTATAATTGCTCCAATCTCAGTGAGTCGCTTCCTGCTCCAAAACCCTTCAAATCAGTGAAGTTATCTTGTTTAAAGTGAATAAGCCTGTGAACAAACCTGCTCTGGAGCAGGTTTGAGATTACAGACATGTTGCCATTACAACAAGTCCTGCGAGACTTTCAGAGAACCAATAGATCTGAGATCATGTGAAATCATTATCGAAGTTATCTGGCTAACCTGTTAATCCACGTATGAAGAACCCCCCGGAAGGATATGTAGGAGCACTACTGTTAGCTGTGACAAAGTCAGACAGTGCCCTTCAATATAGGCCAATTTAAAATTTTCAACCTATTTTGCATCGCGTTACAAAGAAGAACAAGTGCTGTATTTGCCATTGCTGGTGGACAAACACTGGATGTCTGACACCTTCAACAGAACCATTTCAGTGCATCCCTACAAATAAATGAACTTTCTTCTGACCCCCAACAGCCTGTTTTCATGGGGATCCAGAAAGTGAGCGATTTTAATCTTCCAGCATAACAAACCACACCTGCCATTGGCGACTGCCCTGCTGAAATGGCTAGACACCTCGGAAGCTGTACATGTCATCAACTAGATCTAGCACCAGACTTTGCTTACAGAGTAAGATGATATAAATTCTTTGGGCGGAGTTTCCATCTGAATCTGATCCAGCTGGCTGGGCTCTCTGTCATCAAATTCATCATCATATCGGACATCATACAGCAGGTCAGGGTCCATCCGCAAAGGTGTCTCTGGAAGCTTTCCGGGAGCTGCAGTTTCTTCCTGGGTGGTCTCTGTGTGCTTCAGGGGGTACTGGCTGGTTGTCTGGGACATCAGCTGATCTTCATCTATTTTAAAATGTGTGCAAAAAAACTAAGAACCTATTGCATATTTGCATAATAATAAATAAGATCAGAAAAAAACAAATGTTTTCATACCTTTTCTATGATTTGGTGGATCTGTGACAACCACATCATTCTCCCGGGGAACCCTGAAGATCTCACTGTGTCCGATGGGGTAGATGTTGGTAAACTGAGCTAGCTTCTGGAAATCTGGGCTCATCAGTATCTTCACCTCACACATGTCAGGCTGCTGGACCTAAATAATTCAAACCCAAATGGTATGAAATCATATCCAAATATTCCTGTTCCAAATGAACCGATAACAATATTGGAGGACAGGGTGAAGCGACAGACAGAAGCCAGTTTAAACTAAGGAAATGAACCCTTGTTAAATGAAACACTTAAACTACCAACTGTGATATTATCTGCTCCCAATTATTTCATCCTGACAGAGGGCTGCACTTCTACAAAGGCTAAAAACCACTGTATTCCAGTATGTTATGTAGTAGGCTACAGACCTTCAGACAGTTAAACGTTACATTCAACAGGAACAGTGCTGTGTTTATCAGTTTTCAAATTTGCACAGCCTCCTGTTGTCATTTAACCACAATCAGAAGGTAAACCTCATGAAAATATAAACTGTCTCCATCATTTTTAAGGTAACTGTAACTTTTATAGTAGAAACAGTATTATTAAGTACTTGTATTGGTGAGTACTCAGTGTACTTGTACTTGGTCAGAAAAAAGTGGTATTGGTACATCCCCACAAATCATCTTTGCAAGCAGATATTACTGTATTTGATCAGTCATGAGGTAAAAAGGTTAAATAAAACAGAACAATCTGCTGTAAAATGAAGGATGATAGACTTCATCCATGAATACAGAATGCTTTAGTGATGCTATGTGAAGGTAGATTACGTTTTAAAAGTTTTTTTCAACACACCCTTTAAACAACTTGAATCACGTTTTCTAATACTGGACCCCAAGCTTCCTAAAGTTAATTGATGCCATCCATCCATTATTTATACCGCTTACTCTTGAATAGAATCACCTTACAAAAAAATAAATAAAAAATTTTTTTTTCATATACAACACAGTGTAACTCAGGGTTGTGAATTTTGAGGTGACCTCCCAAAAGAAAGACATTTCTATAGGTATTGTGTCTCCAATGATCACGATCAAGTGTTTTCTGTCATGCTTTATTTAGAATCACTCACAAAAATGTAATTTGACCCATAAGAGACTCATAAGACTCCAAAAAGGTGTTTACCTCTTTGCCCTCCATCTCTATTACTTCACTGAACACCTGCAGAGCCACCACCTCCTCTGAGTCACTGTATAGCCGGTTCTGGCTGACCATCACCCGGGTGACAGTGGACACCAGATCCCCAGATTCAAACTCACTGCTTCCATTAATGCTGTCCACTGGAAAAACACGAATCAGTATTTAAATGACATTTCTCCAGTAGTTTACATTTGAATATGCAAGGATGAGACTTTACTGAAACCATCAATAAATAGCAGTAACTTAACAATAAAAACTGATTATGAATTAAACATCAAGGTCATTTATCAAGCAAAATGCCAACAGGAAATTATCATCGTCACAAACTAACACACATTATAAAGCACTCCCAAAATACTAATGTGACATGGAAAATCTAAAGTATCTTCACGTTTTTAAATTTAGCAATAAGTACAAATGACTTGTAAAGGGTATTTTCCTGCCGTTTACATTAGTATTTTCTTCTCAGATTATTACAGTTTAATACTTAGATATATCATAATTGATGAACATCCTAGCGATGTGAGGAAAACTCACAGAGAAGTGCTTGACAGTTAAACCTGGTGACTCCTGACAGCTCTACTGGGATGTCATTGACCAACACCTGCTCTTCACTCACCGAAATGTTTAAGTTTATCTGAAAGAAGAAATAACAGCGTTGAGGCTTGGCTGTTTTGTTGTGTTGCACAACTGACTGAAAATGCCTCATATCTGGATATTTGCTTATTACATTGTATGTGGCCATATACCTGCAAGTTGTTTGAATCCCGTAGCTGTGTGTCCGCCAATGTCCCCGTTGTCACGTTAATCAGGATATTTTCCTACAGGCATCAGTGTTTAAAAAACGGGAAAAAGAAACACAAAGATGCGTGAGGTTTAGCACCATGATGTCTGCCAATGATGACAACCCTCGATCAGTAAGCTAACGCTATGCTAACATCAACATCATTATGTTACCGCAATATTTAGGTCTTACCGTATTGAGCTGCCTAGGCGACGACTCTGTGCGTGTTATTGAGGCAAAGAGAAGAAATGTAAGAGAAACTGCTAACCCTATCATTTCCATTTTGTGTTGATTTAACATAGCTTACAGCAATAAGCAATAAAATAGCTTCAACAAAACATTGAGCAAGACGCATCCACTGCGCAGGCGTGCGGAATTTCTAATCTAAACGATGTTCTCGCGAGATCACGAACGTCAGCATGGCAGTGCTCCTTGAAACGACTCTGGGTGATATTGTAATTGATTTGTTTACAGACGAAAGGCCTAAAAGTACGAAAACAAAGCCACCTGCACACAACATAACGGCATCTAATTTCGCGAATTGGTTGATAGCAGAGTAAGCTACTGGCAGGCTAAACCATAGGATGAAGGGGTGCTAGCTAACGCTGTTAGCTCGTTTGTTTGTTTTCATTTTTTTAAAATATTGCCTAATATTTAATTCATCCACAGCAACAACATCGGAATAAACGAGCACATGAAATTATTTAGCCTTATGTTCTACGGTTAACTAGACGAGAAATGCTATTAATTAGTGTCTGTTCACCATTAACGTTAATCTCTGTGCTTTCTTTTGCAGCTTGCCTAAACTTTCTGAAATTATGCAAGATAAAGTACTATAATTATTGCCTCATCCACAATGTTCAGGTGAGACTAAACGTTCATCTGCAAAGCTTGGTAAAAGAGCTTTGCTTCCGTCTTACGCATGTTCAGTTCAAACAAGGTACTAACTCATGTTGACTCGCCTGAAGAGGGCGATACAGTCACAGACCAGATGTGAAAAGCTCAAGCCTGAAATTACTTATTGTCTTTAGTCAGCTGGATGATTTCACTATTGTTTATTAGTTCGTTCATTCATTCATTCATTTAGTCATTAAGTTAAATTATTGGACTTCTTGGCCATCATGTCTTGATTTTACCAAATACAGTAGTAGACACATGTAACAGAATGTATAAGAGTTAATGCTGAAAATCTTCATGGTGCTCTTTCAGTGAAGTGGTGAAGATACTGTACTTTCATAATTTATCTGCCCAGTTTTGAGTCTGTGCTACACATGCTGTACCTAACATTATGTTCATCTCTTCTTCAGAGAGATTTTATTGTGCAGACTGGAGATCCCACTGGAACTGGCCGTGGTGGAGAATCTGTCTATAGGTCAGTCACCAACATGACAAGTTTTTTTTTCTTGGGCACAACAAGTTCAACACTGACAAATGTTCTCTTCTGTGCATGATTAGTAAACTCTATGGGGACCAGGCACGCTTTTTTGATGCAGAGAAAACGCCACGCATCAAACACAGAAAGAAGGGCACTGTGTCCATGGTGAATAATGGAAGTGATCAGCATGGTTCTCAGGTGAATAAGATGAACAGCCATCTTAATGTTTTCCCTGCAGGTGCCCAAACATTCCAGATCAGACACATAAGAAAACATCATCTTATGTGTTATTTTTTTTGTTTGTTTGTTTGTGTGTTTGTTTTTAGACACTATCTGGGTGGGTTCTTCAAGTTAAAAAAGTAACTTGTATGTTGTGTATCATATGCATTATACTTGAGCTGATCAGCTGAATAAACCCTAGAGTATCCTCATTTTTTCAAAGCGAAATCATGACAGTGTCCATGATAAAAAATGGCATATTTAATATACTGTCATGTTATATTGAGCCATGGACCCCTTGTCTGGTCTTTGGTGTGATAAATGTTATGGCTAATAGTGTGCACATGATGTTTTTGATTTTGTTTGTTTGCTTGGTTTTAAGTAAAAACCACATATAACTTATAGATCATGTTTTCACTGCAAGATGTACTTAATTTGTTGGTATTCTTGTTCTTAGTTCCTGATTACCACAGGTGAGAACGTGGACTACCTGGATGGAGTCCATACTGTGTTTGGGGAAGTTACAGAAGGCATGGATGTCTTGGCCAAAATCAATGAGACCTTTGTTGACAAGGACTTTATTCCATTTCAAGATATCAGGTGAGGTAGATAAATGGTGTTTCCAGAGGTTTGACAACCACTGGACCACCACCAACAACAACAACAACAACAACAAAAATCGGCAGAAATGTACTTTGGTGTTTGTATCAGTACCGTAATTGGTTCAGTGTTGCATTTGTTGTCATATTTCAGACAAAACTCAAAAATTTCACAATCATTAAAAAAAATGCTATCTTTTAAAAATCAGGATAAACCACACAGTAATCCTGGAAGACCCGTTTGATGATCCTCCTGACCTGGCAGTCCCCGATCGATCGCCTGAACCCACCAAGGAGCAGCTAGATGTGAGTACACTGCTGCTGTTTGACTTCATAAAAGGGGAGCTCTACTGATTTAACACACCTAAGAGTGTATACATGTGTTTGGTAGCACTACTGCATATGTGAAAAAGGAAGACATTTTTAAGCCAGTTTTCTAGTCCAGGAAAAGCCATGGAAACAAATAGTAAAATTTCCTGAAACACATTGTGTCTTCCTGGAAAATGAGGACTACTGTGTGCTCAGGTTTGAAAACTGACCTGGACAATCCCTGTAACGTTGGTCACACTGTCATTTAAGCCACCCTTAACCGCTGTTTAAGCAGAAGCTGCCAACTTCAGCATCATGTTTGCACTGTTTGCATTTTTTGAAATCTGTCTTTTATAGTTGTTGCAGTAGTAGCCAATGTGACTCAAAAGAAAACTGGATTTAGGTCAGCCCTATAGTCAGCACTTGTTGTCATCCTCAGAGTCATGGATTAATACATACAATACACTGTGCAAATATTTTAGCACTAAAACTAAAGTTTAGGAAATAATGCTATAATTAGTTTTTATTTAACAGTCAACTTCATACAAGGTGCGCTAAATCATATCAGTATTTGTAGTGACACCCTTTGCTTTTAAAACCTCTCCAGTTCTCTTCAGTACACCTGCACACAGTTTTTCAAGGTACTTGAGCGATAGGATGATCCAAGATTCTTGGAGAGCTGGCCACAGTTCTTCTGTGGATTTACTGTGTCTATATGAAAGTATTTTATGCAGTGTTTTGCAGTGGTCTGCCTCCCATGCATGTGATAGAACAGATACACTCCTATTTTAATGAGTTCAGCTTTCTACATAAGCAGCATAGAAGCTCATGTTTTACTAACCCTGTACACCTGTAAATATGACCTGAAGTGTATTTTTGTCATGTCATTTGTGAGCTTCCTTGTTCCTCTTGTTAATGAAATATTTACCCTACCAATATTTAATTTGTGGGGTGGCACAGTGGAGCGGTGGTTAGAGCTGTTGCCTCACAGCAAGAAGGTTCCAGGTTCGAGCCCAAGGCAACCTGGTGCCTTTCTGTGTGGAGTTTGCATGTTCTCCCTGTACCTGCGTAGGTTCTTTCCGGCTTCCTCCCACAGTCTAAAGACATGCAGCTTAGGATCACTGGAGATTCTAAATTGCCCATAGGAGTGAGTGTGTGTGGTTTGTCTTTAAGTGTCAGCCCTGTGTTATACTGGTGTCCTGTCCAGGGTGGACCACACCTCTCACCCAGCTGGGATGGATGGATATTTAATTTGATTCTGTCTAAGAGTCTTTTGTCTCCTGCCTTGTGTCAAGTGAAACACTTGTTTCATCTCAGTTTTTAAAGATACTTGATACAGATATTTTAAACTCTGACACACAAAGTGCTTGCATTGCTTTAAACAAACTACAGGGTGTTAAGTGATTGGCCCTTCTGTCATGTTGTAGGATATGTTTAAAAAAAAACAAAACAGTCTGTTCTTCATTAATGATCTACTGCTAGTAACATTAGTATTGTAGCTGCGCCATTTTGTACAGCACCCTGGGAATTTCTGAGTTTTGGTACAGAGTGCGCAGCGCAAGGCCCTTGTTTTTTCGCTGTAATATGAACATACCTTTTCTGAGCCAAACGTAAAAATACACTTTAGGTCGCGGTTACAGGCATAAAACATGAGTGATACACAAGCTGAAAAATGGGAGCGTGGCGGTTACACACGTGTCTCAAAAACAGAGCTGAAAAGCTTTTGGTCTAGATACAATGTGAAACTTATTGTCTTTTTTGTCTGTCTAACCAGTCATGTGACCATAACCACAGTCATTAAGAGTCAGAGTAGCGATGGGTCCCCGCGGAACACATATTTTGAGGTTAGGGCTAGGCAAGTAGTAGTTGTGGTTAAGGTTAGGATAATTCTATAGGAAATGAATGTAAGTCAATGTAAAGTCCCCACAAGGAATGAATTAGAAGCATGTGTGTGTTTGCATGTGCCACACTAACACAGACAGAAGACCAGACTTTATGGATCCTGCAAAAAAAACAAAACAAAACAGATGACTGTGGTAGATAGTGAGGTGTCTCAGGAGGAGCTTCAGGTTAGTTCAAATGATTGAAGTCCCCATGGCTGTTCATTTTGCTAGTTTCCAGCCATTTACTGTTTAATTTGGGGTACCTCTAGATTAGCTTTGCACCCATCATAACTTCAAATAGTCTTTAATAACTTCAGAACGATAAAACCAGAGAGCCTCTTGCTAGAAACAGGAGAATAGTTTGTGAACGCACACAGCTCCTGTTGCCAGTGGACAGCACAGCGAACTGCAAGGGTATTATTTAGTTTGAATTTCTCTTCCATTGAGAGGTAAACAATGGTGTATATGCACCAAAAAAAACAGATGTGTAACACACAAAAAAACAAAGCAGGTAATTGAGAAACCCCATATTTTCACTGGCATAATGCAGACACAGTAACTTCTCCAGCCTTACAATTTTTGCTGTTACAGAAACAACGCATCAACAGACATGCAACATATGGGTTTTTTTTTTTTTTTTAAACTTACCGATAAGTTGCGCCGAGTAGTGCAAACATCACTCCCTTCCAAGTAGCTCCAAGGTCGGTAAATCCAACCAGTGGTTGCTGTGTCTTCCCCCACATGACCACATACAGTCCCAAAGTAGTGAAATTAATTCCAACAGGTAGCGTAGCACCGACAGTAGCATCATGGGTCATTAATCCGCTGGTTAACCAGCAACACATCACATGCAGCAGACACACTGGCCTCAAGCAGTTAAAACAAACAGGTATTGTGCTCCGGGGGAATCCAGCGTTGATGAGCTGATCATTCACCGCCTTGGGAGGCTTCACAGGCCAGCTGTTTGTAGGTTAGACCCGGTCAGGTAGAACAAGTTCTTGTACTGGAACACTCTTAAAGAAAGCTATAATGATTCCTTCATTTCAGTACAAAGCAATACAAATATCCAAAAGCAAACATTCATACCAAGATGACACATGGTTCAAAAATCTAAAGTGGTTGAATAAAAATGAAAAATGTATGAATAAATGTAGAAAATGCTTTGTGCAGAGTGGCAGAATTGGAGCAGATGAAGTGATTGACGATACAGATGGAAAAGGAGCAGAAGAGCTGGAGGAGAGGCTGAAAGAGAAAGATGCCAAGACGCAGGCCATTCTGCTGGAGATGGTGAGAAGAAGAAATCTGCTCTCAGTGTTCTACTAGACATACCAGTATGCAGCCTGACACACTGCTATACTCTTTTGTTCCCCATTCTTGCAGGTGGGTGACCTCCCTGATGCAGAGGTGAAGCCTCCAGAGAACGTGTTATTTGTGTGCAAACTGAACCCGGTGACCACAGATGAGGACCTGGAAATTATCTTCTCCCGCTTTGGGTCCATCAAAAGGTGACTCTAACCTCCAAGTCCTACATAATGCTAGTTTGTGTTTAAATGGTTTATGTGGCAATTTTATATGTGCTAACATTTAGCTTTACGTCAGTAATATTTTGTCATCATACCTGCTAATAACTATGATAAAATTGTTAGTATCACTGTTTCATATTTTAGTTATTAAAACCGTAATTGATTACCACACTGTAAAAACACTCCCCAGTGAAAGGGTTAACTAATAACCTGCATCACCAAAGTTAGTAACAGTCAGCCAGACACAGGCGCAGCGGGTGCAGCATGCACCCTGCATTTGTTTTGAACACAATGTAGAACACAGGAGCAGTGCTTCAACGATTTTTCTGCTTTCTAAGAGGACTAAGTCTGAAGTGTGGTTGTATTTTGAATTTTATAAGACAGCTCAGGGGAACTTGAGTCAAGGTGGCCACCCTGTCTGCAGAACAGGTAGAAAGAAAATCGATGCTACAGGGAGCAACACTTTATAGTGAATGCAAGATGCAGGGACTTCTGAGTGGGGCAAATGTCATGGTTTGTCTGTTTACCTTGCTAGCAGCTTGTCATTAATCTAAAGTAAAAACTCACTGTCATAACACTTATTTTAAAGTCAGAAAGTTGTCAATATGGTGGAAAACTGCTTCAACAGTCCTCTGTATTTATGTTAGTTGTTGGGCCTATTTCAATTACTGTAAGTCCTCTTAAGACGCAGACTTTGTGTGCTTGAAAGAGAGAATAATAACAATAACAACAAAAATACCATTACTATTCCCTTGTTTACAGAGTGGCCATGCAGCGGGTAAACCCAGTAATGTTACTGGTCCCTTGTCCTCATCTGCAAAAAGTGTATAGTGCTGCTGATTTCTATTTCAGGCTTTTAATATAAAACCACAAATTGCTCATGTCAGTTTGTGGATCAGCTCTGAACATTGTCAACACATTTTAACAAAGCCATTATTTTTTGCATTACTCTGTTTTGTGTAGCTGTGAGATCATCAGAGACTGGAAAAGTGGAGACTCCCTCTGTTACGCATTCATTGAGTTTGAAAAGGTGAGCATCTTCTGTGTTTACGTGGCATTCAGTATCCACGAGCACATTTGTGACACTTTTTTTGTTATGCAAAGTGTATGGGGATGTTTACAGTTTAAAGGGATAGTTCAACTTTTTGGAAAAACATGCTTATTCACTTTCTTTCTGGTGGTGTAACAGAGATGTGACTTTGAAGGCTTCTCAGACATCAGAACACTGCGTTAGCCCCCCCTAAGACACTTTCAGTTACTGCATGGACACAACAATTCAGAAACATACTCAGGGCCTTCACCTTGTAGAGATAATAACAGTGAAAATTATGGCAAAGCTTTATTTTACAGGTCTGTAAATCCCGGTTTATTACTAATTAATGTCCTAAGAAGTTTCCTGAAAGGAACCATATAATTTGGTACTAATTACAGGTACAATTAGAGCATGATCATTTGGTACGCTTCCACTCATTTCTAAATACTAAGCTAGCATAAACTGGAGGCTTTCTTCACAGGACCAAAGGTGAACTACACATGCAAAATGTTATATTTGTCCACAAACAATCAAATTTAGCATAAATGAAGAATGCAGTTTCAAATTATTAATAAATAAACAGTAAATAGTATATTAACAGGGGTTTACACTGAGCTGTTTCTTTCATGGAAATTCATCTGGAAGCAAATAAACCCAGTACAACTCTGTGGACTAACTAAGAACAAAATTGGTCTTAGAAATTTATCTGTAATTAATACCGAACTACTTGGCTGTTTACAGGAAACCTTCAAGAGATTATTATAAAATAATGGATTGGTCACCAAAGCTATATTAATTTCCATCTCTTCTGGCATTCAGTGGAGAGAAGCCAAAGCTGGAGTATGTGCTCCCTGTAGTTTGCCTGCATTTTGAAACATCTGCAGACACACTACAGCTCCTTGGCTGTGGCAAGAATAATATAACATAAAAGCATGGATTAATTTCTCAGCCCTTTGAAAAGATAAGTTATGTCTGACCTTGTAGATATTTAACAACAAGATGTGATACCTAACTTCTTTACAGTACAGCTTGAAATTAATGGTCAAAGGGCTCCAGATACTACTACCGGTATTTGATTGGCCACTGCAGTGCTTTGCCTGATGACATCACAACCTTTCAGTTTTTCACTGATACCCTCTGTGTGAAAGCCTGGGGTTTTTTGCCATCCCCATAGATTGTATATAAAAATAAATGATGTGACCACTTCCTGATACTATGCAAAAGCAAAGCCAAAATATTGCAAACATGGGGGCAGCCATGCAACCAGAGGTGGAGGTAGGGCATCAGGCTGCCAATCAATGCTGTCACATCATCTGAAACACTGTGCTTTTTGTATCATTAAAAACAAACTTATCAGGAAAATGACCACTTGTACACAAATCAGTGGTAATATCCACCTAAAATGACAGAACTCAGCTTTGGGAAAAAAGAATTTGAGTTGTACAAATGTGTTGTTTTTGATAATATGATTGAATCACACCACGTCTGGAAACATGACCCTTAGTATAACCTACATGATGGGTGAACAAGTCTGTTGAGCCTCTAAACGCAGTTTTTCTCTTGTCAGAATCTGTAGCGGCCATCAGTATCCCACCAACCCTTGTGCAGTCACTTCTTTAATGGTGTGCTCAAGTGGTTCTCATCAAAGGTGCCATCAGGTGCTCATGAGTCACTAGTAAATACAGCATATCTGGTGAAAGTGACAGATGGAAAAACCCCTAAAAGATGTAAATAATGGAATTATAAAGTCCACTATTTGTTCTTGAAATGACGAGGCGATAATCATCACATGGGTTGTTAGTCATTAAGATAGAGAAGTAATCGTTATACTGTATTTGTCATGAAACATGGGACACGCTTAGCTAGCTCTCTGTCATGGAAGGAAAACATCAGCACTTGTAAACCTGGGTGTTGTATTTTCTCCAGTTTGTAACTGTTATTTACCATTTTTTCAGCCGCTTAAGAGCAACTTCCCCTTGGAAAATTTATGACTTTACTGTACACCTTTTCAAGACACCATATGCACCCTTAGTTTTGAGTTTTGTCAGTGGGTTGATCTGGGGATAGCAGATCCTCTAGACCATGTCATTTGGTGAGGTGGGGGGTGTAGGTTTTGCTTTCTGGCTTTACATCTGTAAAAGTGATTATGAATTGCATTCACAGGCGGAGGCAGCTCCTGAAATGGGACAAGCAATAGTATCACAGTGTATAATGTGGTTGGCACTTTATACCAGATGTCTCCTTTATAACCACAAACAGTGAAGGCCACCTTTGTTCTCAGATATCTGATAGAAGTGAAGGATGTTTTTGGAAATAGTTGTTTTTTTATTTTCTATCCTGCAGTCAGTGAGTTCCAGCCAAAACTTGCTTTCATTTAGAATAATTTGGTTTTCCACTTTGTGTATGTTGAGTTTGAGTAGAAGATATGAGAAAGTTAGTTTGTAAAATGAAAAGTTTTGACCTTGAATTTTGTTTTTCAACCAGTCACTTGAAATTTAAGATCTGTTGACTTTGTGCTGCGCCTTTTTTTTTTTTTTGGAGATACGCTGCTGAAAACACAAATTACTGAGATGTTACTGAATGATGAAATGTTTTGTGCATCTAAAGATATGAAAATTGAGCCGAACAAAAAAAGCTGACTGAAATAAAATTACAAAACAAAAAGAAGGCAAAAGCAGAAAAAAGGGTGAAAAAAGAAATAAGAGAAAGAAGGAAAATTGCAGTAAGGATGGATCACGGGAAGAAAAGGAATATCACTCACTGTAGGTTCCTGAACATTCTACCATTAAAAGCAGTGGAGAGGCTGAAGGATAACCAAATTCACCTAAAATTGTCATCAGCCAGAAAACAAAAAGTATAAAAGATATCAAAAAGCTGACCTCAAAACTAAAAAGTCTAACGTCTTTAGACCAATTTAAAGTTTAAAAGCCATTTCTAGCCCAAAGTACTATATAGCAAAGCCAGAAGCTGACAAAAAAGAGCAAGCTTTAGAGTTGGTTGAAAGTTTTCCCCTTGTAGATTAAGTGATAGTGAAAATAATAGTTGCAGCTCTAAGACCTACCAGTCAGAAAATCATATTTTTAATATTCACTTTGATTACTTTCATTTTTATGTTTTCTATCTCCACAGCAGGAGGACTGTGAAAAGGCCTATTTCAAAATGGACAATGTGCTCATTGATGATCGACGTATTCATGTGGACTTCAGCCAGTCAGTCGCAAAGATCAAATGGAAAGGGAAAGGTACTGAAGCCACTGTAGGTTATATGTGCTGAATGTCTCTCTTTTTACTGTGAAGCAGGAACGTGTTATGCCAGTGTAAGTCTAGTTTCTGCGTCTTGTGTCGTTATCCTCCTCACGCTGAGTTAACTTTGAGATCTTATCGTCATGGCCTCAATTTTTTCCCCCAGGGGGGAAGTATACTAAAGAGGACTTCAAAGCCTATGAGAAGGATGTGGAGAAGCAATCCAAACTGGCTCTCAAGGATCAAGTGAAGCCTAAACAAGAGTATCCTTATATGTAAATAGGCTGGGTCTTAATCCTCCAGTTTTTCCACTTCATGTCAAAACGTATGTCTGAAGTATGTAACTGTATAGCCTTTATTGTGGTGGACATTCCTTTTTTAGTTTGATTTGGCAAACCTCTGACTTTCTGAGCTGCCTGGAGATTTCCTCAACTTTCCCCTACAGTTCCAAGTATGACCTGCTAATCGATGAAGAAGAGGAGGCAACAAGCCATCGTCCATCTGAGAAAAAGCACAAGGACAAGAGGCACCGTCATCATTCAGATGACGAAGGCAGCAGGAAGTCCAAAAAGCACAAAGTACTTTCAGTGCATATCTTCCTTCACACATAAATTTTATTTCTAAATGCTTTGAGCCAAAACAGCAGTATTCTAATATTGTTATGCTATGAGGATAGAGGAAATGGCTGTGAACCGTCTTGAACCTGATCTACTATTGCATTTTTACCAATTCAGGATAAAGGGATTCTATTTTTAGAAATTGTTGGTAATTTAAAAATCAAAAACTGAAATCTCTGTAATACCGTAATTATGAGATGGTACACTGAGCTGTGGCAGAGGATACCTTCTAGTAGTCACTTGTAAATTCACTTATCAGAACCAGCTTTTTAATGATATAGAAAGACAGAGGCGTACAGGTATCTGTGACAGTAGGGTTTTTAATTTCAGGAAGAACAGATCATTGTTCCAACGAGGTGTAAGGCTAACAGATAAACATGTTTTTAAAAAGCCTCCATACAAATTAAATTTTAAAAAATATTCCACATAGTGACCAAAATTGTCCAGCAAGTTACTCCATATGAATTATGTCTATAGCACTTTTCAATTAAGCAACCAAAGGACTAAAATTAGTATTTTCTGCTTTGGTCAACACTAAGCTAATCAAGGTAGAGTCTTGAATAGAACCTTGCTTACCTTTATAAACACTCACTGTGTCACACCTTTGCTTTTCTGACATTTCCAGGACAGCGAGGAGAGCAGGCGAGATAGAAAAATTGGCCACCAGCGGTCTCATTCCCGCTCACGTTCCCGCTCCAGAGACAGGGACCACAAACACGGCAAGTTCCGGGTCAAACATGGAAAAGAGGGGCACGATAAAGGCCACAGCCACAAGGACAGGAGCCGCAGCCGGTCCCCAAAGAAGTCCAAGGATAAGGAAAGGAGCAGATACAGATGAGGAAAGAAATGAGGTTCAATTTGTTCTTACTGAATATGATGGTGACAGAGGAAAATGGAGCTACAGCTCCTGAACTGTATTCAACATGAATAATATGGCATCTAAATGCCTAAACTACTGCCTTCCTTTAAAATCACTGATCCTGACTTTAAACAAATAAGATTGACATCTTTGTCTCATTGTCTTCAACAACAAAATGTTTTGACACATGCTTTTTGTATGTACTGTATATTAAAATGCCACATAATGTGACAGTTGTCTGTTGTTTTTTATTTCATTTGGACCCTGTGACAGATTTCCTCATCTAAATGTTATTACTTTCTCTGCTCCTTCTTCTTTCCTTTTCACACGGCTAAATTAGAACAATGGTGGTAGATGACTAATGTTTCACTATTGACTAGTTCCAATCAGGTAGATTTTTGACATTCTTAAAATGTGGGTGTAGAAAATTGCTGGGTGGAACCTGTCTTCACTGTGCTGAGGAATTCACTGGTGTCTCCCTCCACCCACCTCATAGAGCTGATAATGTCATTCACTGCACAAACTGAAAGCTAATAGTTTTCTGGCTGCAAGTTCAAAGCAAACAGGAATTTTTTACATGTGAGATAAGATAAATGCAACAAAGTAACTTTATGCTGGAATCAGAGTTTTAAACAGCCCTAATAAAAAGCACTGTTATTAAACCTTAGTGGTATGACAACAAGCAGAAGTTTAATTTGAGGTCATGTTTCAAAAACATCATCTGCACCTCAACTGTATGGTGTACAACAAGGTTCTGTTTTGGGTCCCATCTTATTTTCCCTCTACATGCTTCCTCTTGGGCATATAATAAGGGGTTTTAAAGGGATATCCTATCATTGATGATGATATCCAGCTACACATTTCTTCTAACCAAAAATGACTGTGTAACAGCCATACAAAAATTGGATAGCTAAACAACCTTTTACATCTTAGTAATTAAGTAGACTTGTGCCCCATCTGGCCCCATTCCTAGGGTACAGAAACACCTTGGATCTTTCTTTTTTCTTCATGTGTGAAACCTGCAGTCAGAAGTCTTGGGGTCACATATTTGACCAAGCCTTGACCCTGGGGCAACATGAAGTGTTCGACTATCCTGCTTCTTTCAGCTGAGGAATATTGCTAAAATCAGACCCATGGTTTGTCAGATGGAGATGGAAAAGATCATTCATGCTTTTGTTTAATCAAGACTCAAGCCTATTAATCAACCCTAGACCTAAACAGTTATAACTCACTCAGAAGCCTCCCAAACTGTAACACCCAAACTGGAAAACTCAAAAGCCAGTTCTGTTTATTAGTGAATAGGTTTCTTCTGTTAAAGGTAGTTTATCCTACCTGCTGCCACCAAGTGCTTGCTCAAGGGGGAATTCCTCAATAATAATAATAATAATAATAATAATAATAATAATAGTAAGGTCTAGATGACTTTTGTTATTTGGCACTATACAAATAAAATTGAATTGAATTGTATTGAGTTGAGATCAGACTACGGTAAGTTTTTATTCACTTGTTGCAGTAGACGTCTTTTGATACTGTACAAGTGGTCCAGAATGCTGCAGCCAGGCTTTTGGCAAAGTTATCTAAGTGGGAACATGTTACACCTGTTTTGATCTCTCTACATTGGCTCCCCATCAAATTCAGAATTCATTTCAAAACCTTTGTAATCAGATTCAGAGCCTTGCATGGTCAGGCACTTGATAGGTCTCATGGGTTTGTTGGCTGTTCCTCGCTCCAGACTTAAAACAAAAGGTGACTGTGGCTCCTAAACTCTGGAACTCTCTCCCAGTAGACTTAGATCTGTGGACATTTTTAAAAAGCAGTTGAAGACCCAGGCTTTGTTTCTTTTTCTTTTTTTACTTTTTTGTGAAGCACTTTGTGACAATTGATCTAGAAAGTGTCTATGTACTTGGTGAAAGCTACAGTTGTAGCTGAAATGCTGTCAAAATACAAATACTGAAAGAAGATTAATAAGTTAAATTGCAATTTGTTGTAAGTGGTTGGCAACTAAGTGGTAAAAGTGATATTTCACACACAGAGGGAATCCATAGTGAAAAAACAAGACAATAATGGTAACGCATTGTTAAAACTAAATAAAGGTAGCATGGAAAGCATGTGAAATTTGGATTATAAGTTAGTGAGACAGCTGAATGGCTCTGAGCTGAAGCCTACAACACACAATGTCACCCACTCTGAACATTACACACAATACACAAGACTGAAAAATGTAAAGTTTGAAAGTAGTTGAACTGCCATTTGAAGAAAAAAAAAAACAAGTGTCTACTGACATACACAGTGCAAACACAAACTGAAAACTAATAGGTGACTTGAGAGGTGTCAGTGTAAGCAAACAGCTGAAATCTACAGTTTGTTTTGTCACTCATTCTACATGCACAGATTTCATAAATGAGCTGAAAAATATGTAATTTGTAACATGCCATGAATGTCCAGAAGAAGATGAAGAGTATGAGTGTACATTGAATGTGAGCACTCTAATTATATGTCATGTCAAGCTGGAAAGAAATGTAAACATATTAACTTGTAAAAAGAAAATATGTAGTTGGAAGTAAAATAATATTTTCATATTTAACTCCCTGATTATAGATATAATGTTACACTATTAATAATTATAATATTTCTTTTCATGAGATAGAGCAGAGCCAGTCATGATTAAGGCATCACCATCAGATTAAGTGCTGACAAATAATAGTTAGTTATTAGCTGAGTGATTAGCACCAGAGGTGACTTGAACTTTAGTCCAGGGTCAGGACAAAAAGGCATTACAGGAGTGTAGATCAGAGAATTGACTTAAATTCTTTGTTATCACCAGCAAGCCTAACCACAAGAAGTCACCACTCAGTGTTTTGGATTTCCCGAAAATACTAGTTGTTTTGTGGGTGGAGAGGAGCTGGTGTGGGTTGTGAGCAGTAATGGAAACAAGTCTTCCGGAGAGAAGCTGAAGAAGATCTGGAGGGGTTAGTGTGTAGAAACTGAAAAGTGACAGTATGAGGCACAGTGGAAAAAAGGGGTTGCACAGCTTCACTCCCACTGGTGGAACCACAGGTGGAGTGTTCCCCGGCCACCTACAGTACATGCGCATCTCTTTGTTGCCTTATGACTGAAGCAACAGAACTCAGCTTATGGCATATTGAACCTTACCTGAGGTGTTTCACAATTTTCGGTTCACATGACTTAGTGCTGTTTCCTGCTGTTTTTCCTGTCTTTCTTGTGTCATCGGTATATTTACATAAAGAAAGCAAGAATGGTATATGACCTGGTTTCCTGTAAAAATAGTCAGTTCTTGTTGGTAACATAGCTTCATGCATACATACCTTAGTCATACACCTATGCAAACACAAACAATCTTCTGTGTAGGAGTTAAATCACTTGTGTTTTCTCTCCCTGGATATTGCTAGAAGGTCAGTGTCAGTACTGTAGTTCTTGAACTGAGAGAGACAGGAAGCAAAGTAACATTTAGAAGTAAATGCAAGTGTTCCCACATTCCCAATTTCAGATGACAACACTGTCAACTGACATATAATATTCATTTTTATTGTTAAATCTGAGTTACAGGTGAGGTGGAAGCACTCAGTGGAGTTGAAGAGGCAGCAGAACATCAGGCACTGAAAGGGAATCGAGTGTATACAAGTAGATACAAGCTACATCACATCAATTGATTTTATTCTTTTCAAGAAAACTAAGAGTTGCACCCGTGATTAGACGAGTTGAACGCCTGAGGAAGTGCAGAGTAATGCTCTTTTAGAAGTTTGTGGTTTATCTGATAGTAGTCTGTGAAAAAGAAAATATAGTGCAGAGTGAAGTTTTAGTTTATAAGTTATTACTTTTTAACCTACTGTGCTAGACAAGGAGCAGCTTTAGTGATCATAGAACTGTTGTGATCCTTAGAGATATCCTTACAGAGATACTTCAAACCTTGGACTAGACACCAGTCCTAAATATTAAAGATGTTGGTTTGGCTCAGAGTACATTTAAACATATGTTCATCTCTATTATTGATACTGTGGCTCTTTTCAGGTCTGTCCAGTGCAAATGTCTGCTCCCTGGATGGAGGTAACAGAGGTGACATGAGGTCCAGCTAAAGGTCAGGCAGGCAAAGAAAAATTGTTTTTCAGATCAGATTAATTAGAACAACCTTCAAAAGTTATGGAAAACATTTTTTAACAATCTGGTCTTAACAGAAAACATTCAAATCCACAACACTACATCTGTAGCTATCCTCAAATAACTGACATAGAGAGAAAGAGTCAGCTTATTCTTCACTGCAGCTGTCCACTCTACCGCTGAGACCAGGAATCTCTGGCCTGGATTTTATAACAGTTCACCTGAATCATGGTGTCATGTGTTTTAACCCAGTCTCAGTGTGGGCAAAACAGAACGTTTGTTGATACCTGTAGTAAAGCCACAGGTCTTGGTGATATATCTACTAGATTTATCCACCAGTATTTATGAAAGCTTTTCATGCATTTCAGTCAGGTTCTAGAAACCACATTCAGCAGAAATGTGTACAGTCTGCTAATCATTAGATGTGTGTCTGTGACCATCATTGTTGAAATGGTCTGCTTAATATTTAACAATGACAGAACAGCCGATCATGGTTTTAGCTCAGTATATACTGTCCAGTAGTCACCACAAGATCATATATTTATCTTGGTTAGTTACTGTAAATCCAGCTTTTCTAATCCACCACTCATGCAGAGGTTGAAAAACTGAAATATCCAGATAGCTGGCATTAGAAAATCCCGCATGACTCATTACATTTTTGTTTTTGAGGCACTTCCTGGTCTTGCACTGGGCTATTTGTCTGATCCTGTATGTTCCCAGTGAATGATTTTAAACCAGTTTATGTGGTTTTCTATTTGAATGGAATCTTTGTTTCTTATTGTTTTAACATTATTAACATTTCATCTTTTTATCTTTGTGTGTATTAGTCTTTTTGGTAATTTCTCTGCACATTTGTGATTGATTGATTGATTGATTGATTGATTGATTGATTGACACATTGAAGTGTGATTCGCTATTCACACAGTCCTGCTTTTTTTGTCACCGGTCTCGGCTCATGACAGTGACGAACGTTGCAGTCACGCTTTGCTGTCCTGTTTGTTTTATTGAAACAGGTTTGTACACTACCAAATGTATGATCATATCCTCAAAGCAGCAATAGTCTCAACGGGACATTCCTGTACAGTGATACGTGCAGGCACAAAAAATTGTAAAGTGCTTTGTTTGTAGAGGGGGAAAAGCACTGTGCAAGTCATGTAAACCCGTCATTGTCAAGTTTTCTAGCTCATGTAAGCTACAGTGTCCTTTCTGGCTTTCATCATAAATCCTTGTCTTGCCCCTACAATAGGATCAAACCGTCTCTTGCTCTCTCACATGTTCACATATTTTTTCTGCATGTCTAGCATCCTGGTTAGATAAGGGACAAACAGCATGAATAAAAGCTGTTTCATTGTGAGTAAGCATTACTTTTCCTCTTCTTAGTTTTATTTAAATTCTTCCCAAATTTCCCTTTCCCCGTCCTCGTGTTGTCACCATGATGTCATCAAAGTGTGCTGTTCCTGGTCAGTTTTGCCCAAAGACATCACAGACATTTGTAGGAGGAACTAATAAGTGGGTGTGTATAAAGATCCACAGCGGCTTCGTGTGAGCGTGCACAGCACAGTCTCCACACTTTGATTAGAGCATTTCTCCACATGAGAGGCAGCTGAGGCAAACCTGTAATATCAGACTGTGGTGGTAGATTACTCTTAATAATATTGACAATAACATAAATATATTCACAAACACAATAAATATCATTCTTAACCCCAGTGCCTTTCTTGGCAACTCTGAGGTTTCTTGGAAAACAGACCCTACTCAGTTATATTTTGCCCTGTCACTGTTCGGCATGTTGTTTGGTGGTAGAGTGACAAAACTGAATATAAGAGGTGTTAGCTTGAAGTACAGCTGACAGAATATGGTGTTTTTATCTCTGTGTGAGTACTAACAGGATCCTGTTTAACACTGTCATTTGTTGGTTGCTACTATGAAGATTACAATGTGGTCAGGGTGTCACTGGTCATATTGTGTTATAATATGCTTAGTATGTGACGCTTTACACCAGCTGTGTTCAGCATTGTGTTGGACACCTGAAAACGTCAAAAGGGCCTGTAAATCAGCAGTCATGGTTGATGGTAGATATCTGAAGCTGGAGATTGCCAATATTTTACACAGATATTTAATATTTTACATACATATGAATATGGCAAACTGATGAGTCATGGTGGAAAGTAGTAAGGGAGAAAGGGCTAACCTGGCTCTTCTAAATCTCAGTGATCAAGTCTTTGTGCTATGCTAAGCTAACCAGCAAGCAGTATGATTGGATCAGTCTTCTCATCTAATTCTCTGCCAGAAAGTGAATACACATATCTCCTCAAATACTGGACGTTTGCTCTAAACTGCCTTAACATTTGTCACTAATCTTAGGATAGGGGAGGTGACAGTGCTGTGGTGGATAGAGCAGTCGTCTCCTAACCGGAAAACTGAAGGTTCAAATCCCAGTGCCTGCAGTCCACTTTCTCAACGTGTCCTTGGGCAACACACTGAACCCCTGAGTTGCCCCCGATGGTTAGAGCCATCACTTGATTTGGCGCTGCAGATGGCTGCCATCGGTTCTGTACCAGAAACAAATTCCTTGTGTGTAGCATACTTGGCCAATAAAGGTGATTATCCTTATCCTAATTCAATAATATGACAGGCGGAAGCTCCTTCTAGGGACCCACTCACCTGTTTGATGCTGGAAACTGTATCACACATTCACCCTTGTAAAACAGAATTCAAATAAAATATCTGAATGACTCATAAAACCTTGACATTTTGGCACAGTCACTCAGCATGCATTTCACCACACCACACTGTACCAGGAAGAGCTCAAAAACAGGGGAGACGCGGGGAAATAAATCCCTCAGGCTCTTAGATCAGCTCCAGCTCGTGACAAGGAAGTAGTGTCACAAATGTTCTCTTCCCTGCTGGTCAGAGAGACTGTTGTTTTCTGTGCCACAAGCACTTACTTCCTCCTATGAGTAATACTGTGAGAGCAGTTTTAAACACAACAACCTGCTTGGCAGAGCGACTGACTGAGATCAACTCACACACAGACAGAGAGAGAAAGACAGCGACAGGGACCTACGCTCTGATCCACCACTTTCTGAACAGGTAAGAACAAAATAAAACAAACAGCTTCAGTCGTGTGACTGTACAGTAGCTCTCTGTATGCACTGCAGTCTCACCTTGCTCAGACTTATCATGCTTCAGGTTGTCAAGGACAAGTGGGTTTCAGGGTGATGGGCTGGCTTGTGTACGGCACCACAAAGAGCAAAGGTTGCTGCTGGAGTTCAGGCACGTGAGGCAAACAAGCAGAGATAACCATAATCTTTGTTTTTTTTGGGGGGGGGATGAGTATGAGGGCCTTGTAGGTGAACTGAACGTTAACTCAGCAGCAAAGGATGTGGCGGTGTGCAGGTTCGAGCAAGCCTGTGCAAAGCCAAGCCCCTTGCAGAGGGAGGATATCTCAGTTAAAAACACCTTCAACTGTATAACTGTCAGTACTCATTTATGGTGTTTAATTGGTGGGACTGTTGTAGAGTAAGAAAACACTGGTTTGTTTCACATCTTTGTCCTTTTTGTTCATGCTTTAAATGTCAAGTTGACAGGGAAACCGATTGAATCTCTTTATTTTACAAGGATCAAAAAGTCTGCAAAGAAAAATGCATCAAAGGGATATGGTGGATGTGTTTTGTCTGAAAATGATGAGTTCAGTTCAGGATTTTCATCATGACAGGCTTTTCTGGACTTGTTTCAGCTTCCCAGTGTTCTCAGAGTTCATTAGAGTTTTGTGTTTTCATTGTTGCATGTGTAAACAGAATGTTTGTTAAAGCTCAGTGCTCAGAATAGCTCTGTTTTGTGGGAGGAAATGTGGAAGACGTGGGTTAAGGCATTCAACAGTTTTCAAATACATGAGTGGTCGTGAATTTTAGGGGATTTCCAGAGTGTAATAAAACATGTCTGGAACTGGATGAGCCTCACATTTCCATTCATTCATGTTTTCTCTGCTAACTGACCTCAATGACAGCAGAGATCAGTGCAGACCCTCGGCTTCCTCCTCTGTTAAAGGGGCTTTCTTAACCAGCGTGATGTGAGTCGGTGTTTGTGCTTACGTTGGCAGTCATGAGGTTGTGGTGAGCAGAGCACATTGTCAGTGAGCACAAAACCACTATCGATGTGTCTGAAAACCCCTGTCACACCGCAGCTGTGCTTCCTGTGTTTACAGTGACAGAGCCTGACTGTCTCCACCCCATCTTGACATCTGTCAACTGTTCCAAAACACTGGCTGTCACCGTGGAGACACTGCTGAGCCACTGCTAAGCCAGACTAAGGAGGCAAAAAGGATTCCCCACACGTAGTCCTGAGAAGACAGAGGAGAGCAAACACATTCATTCTGAATCATTGTCCACAATGGACCAGCAGCAGCAGCACGCCAAAGTGGAGCGCTTTCTCAAGTTAGGCTACTCCCACAGTGACATCCTGAGGGTGCTGGAGACCCTCCGCCACGATGCCCAGACCAATGATATCCTAGAGGAGCTCATAAAGACCTGCCACACTTGCACTTACAGCAACAAAAGTGTCCCAGTCAGTCCCAAGCTGGTGCCCAGAGGCTGCAGCCCCGGTCCTAACCAGCCCAGGCCTGGAGTGGACAGAGAGCCAGCTGCTGACTTCAGGCCAGTGGTTATAGATGGAAGCAACGTGGCCATGAGGTCAGTCCATTCTGCATATGGCATTAAGAATACTTGTCTTATGTATCAGCTGTTTAATGTTTATATCCAGCTGCAGTGGCAGAAGGAAGAGTATATGTAAGTCGGACACGTTTCAGTGTTACATTTTATATCACTGTCAGATCATTACAACTATGTGATCTTTCAGCAGCATTTCATTTTCTAGTAAAAAATAAGCTAATTTTTAACTGTTGTTTGCTGATGGAGAATTTAATCTATATTGATGCATCTTAATTTAGAATTTGATCGTTTTGTGTGAAAATGTTAATATGCAAACTAACTCCAGCTGTCAGGGTGGTGCGTTCACATATATGCAGCTGAAATGTAGTGGTGGAGATGTATTAACGTAAGTAACACCAAATGGAAATACTCAAGTGAAGTACAAATACCTCACAATTGTGTATACTTTCTCAAACTATTTAACTGGTATTTTATTTTGGGCCAAGACAAACATATTACAAATACTTCACATAGCAGTTGGAAAAATTATTTTTCACTTCCTGTAAAAATACTTTCTTGAGGTATGAGGCTTACAGTGTGTTCATTCATGTGTGTAACCAAACTAAAAAGTAGAAATAGAACATTACAGGTGCACAGGTTTAGTTTTAGAATTAATTCCTTTTCTTTTATCTGCACCTCCATTTGTGTCAAACCATGTTTCAGTTTACAGATTTGATTGCACCACACTTCCTCTTTAAATATGTGGGAAGTGAAAACATGGTGTGTGCCTATATTCTTCTCTCATTGTCCACTCACTTCAAGATCACATGGCGCCTGAAGGGCACCGTGACATGTTCATTCATTTTCACATCAGATCCGAGCTGCATAGGTGATATTCTTATTTATAGTGACATGTGAAAGTGTAACACTACATGTCATGGTTGCCAGCTTGATCTGACCTAAACAGGGGAACAAGGAAGTTCTGAGTCAAAATATGCTCAAACAAAGAACTTGGTGAGTAGGTGGAGTCCACGATATGAATTCAGAATGGAACATAAATGAGAGATGTTTTCACAACACATTTTCCAGTAAAGATATGACTTCACTTGAAAGAGGAAGAGGGCTGAAATAGTTACTGCCACACCTTTACTCCCAGGTGAGGTAGTGTGACTGTAGTTTGGCCTCAGGCATGAAATTGCAGAGGCTGTAAGGGAGACTCATCAGGCAGACAGAGCCCTCCTGAGCTGCTGTGAACTGAATGTGCTGTAAAGCTTGTTATTTCTCAAACCACCCTGAGGGGTTTTCACCTGATTCATCTTCATGTCCAACCCCATTCACAGCAAATCCTGACTGTGGATGATTAACCTTCCAATGTCTCATTCTCATCAGTTTATTAATTATTAAAACTGGAAAACTGGAAGACATTATAAACAGCTCACTGCCCCCAATACATAACACTGACTTTGATTTAAATATGTGTAGTTTCTGAGTTCAAACCAAGATTCCTCAGACAACCTCACTTCTGCAATTTGGATTTTCACATTGTGAGCAGTGCTCCACATGACAAGTTAACTGACTCAGACACCTACATTTAGGGAACAGGCCGTTCATTACTTACACTGTAGTTACTCTATAGAATGGGGCAGGAAAAACCTGTTTACTAAGATCATAAAGGTAGTTATAGCTAATAATAGCAAGACGGGACATATTAAAGCTGCACTAACCACTATTTTCATGTTAACAAAGGGTAAAATGACTATTCGTAATGTGAATGGTAACCCACAGACAGGCCCGGCCCTAACCAATTTGGTGCCCTAGGCAAGATTTCAGGTGGCGCCCCGTTGCATCGCACTAAATTCCACTGCTAGTGTATATACTCATATAACATCATATATGACAACTGATTTGAGACCACATGGTTTATGCTTATAATGGCAAGTCCACTGAGACGTTCTTGCATCATAGTAGATCTCAGGTAAGTTTTAATCAGTTTGAGCTTAGAGAAGCTTCTTTCAGCAGCAGC